TTTAGGCGGCTGGCTAACAGGAAAATCACCACCCCCCGCTCTCCCAGGACAAACTCCTTGACAGTTGCTGGGCCAGGGGACATTTTTCTTTAGGCTTTTCAAAGTAAATTTCCTAAGTAAAGCAAGGATGACAGTCTAGGAACTAAGAATTCTTTACCCAATAAACAACATAATTTGTTCACAAACAAGAGGAATACTTTTTGAAGGTTAGGAAGCTGGGGCAGTAAAACGATCCCACCTGGGAAGTAGAGGAGGGAAGGCAAGCTGAATCAAATTTAACATTTTTAAAAAAATCTTGGCCAAATAATCTTAATTAGCAGCTCAATGTCGTTAGTTTCATTAACCATTCTTCACTTTCCTTTGGCAGTAGTCTTTACTTAAATATTCATTGATGATCATGACAAACATGAATTTAAGCCACTCATTCTCTATTTCTTGTAGCATGTGGGAATTTGATACCTATCCAGTTGTTCAGTTATATGGATAGAACCAAATGGATCATTGAACTCCTCCAAAATTTTTTCTATCTAAATAATCATAGTATGGCCATCTCCTCTGGTGAGAGGGAGTGGAAAATTACAAAAGTTCACCTTCCTTGTGTCATTACATATGGAATACGACTACTATTTTGAATTCACTCCTTCTTGCTTTCTTTTGTATTTATTTTCCCTCATGGGTTTTGCTTGAAGTTTTTAGTTAATATTGGGGCTATGAGAGCTTCATAGTCCTGCATGAGTCAAATTGGACAAACTTAGCAGTTCAATGACTCAGGATTTTATTGGTGAAATACAGCTAAATTTACTAATCATTCCATATTCATTTTGGTGGTCTTTGTATGTGTAGTTAATGGAACCACCTTTGGGGCCATACACATCATTAAATTATGGATCACTCTCAAGTTCCTCTGCCTCAAACTGCATAAGAGCCTGGAAGCGAACAACTCTCCTTGGAAAGGTCATTATGTTTATTCCTTGTTGGGTATCATTAGGATACATCTCACTCAGAGACATGCTCCCATCCACCCAGGGATAAAACTATACCGATGCAGGCTTTCAGTGTGGCAAAAAAAAAAAAAAAAAAAGGCACAAACACATAGATTAGAGATGAGGTTATGGTTGCCAGGCAGATGAAAGGGCAAAGGAATCATGGAAATCTACTCTGCCCTAGTCCTAGGAAGTTCTTCTTTAAGCCTCTTCTCTTAAGATAATGAATTATGCATGCTTTGACTTATTTGTAGTAGAAAGAAAGTGAGAGGAAGTGAGGAAGTGGCACTATGAAGAGGGAGAAATGTTGACCTCTGCAAAGTCCTAAACAGCAGAGTTTCTCAAAGTAACATCCACAGACCATCCCACCAAAATCATTAAGGATGTTAGCCCAAAAGGCAGATTCCTTAGCTCTGTTTGAAGTTTCTGAATCAGACTCTCTGGGGTTAGGGTGAAGGAATCTGCATTTTTACAAGTGCTACAAATGATTTTTGTGCACACTGAGTATTGAAAAACACTGCTAAAAAGTTTGCAATGGAGGTCACTGGAAAAAGAATCTCCCTTCTAACATATATGGCAAGATGAGAAAAACAGACATTTCAAACAAATAAGTTCTGTGGTTACATCACAACGTTGCAATTATTGTAGGTTAAGACTCTTTTCTTTCAGCAGGGATGGAGAGCAATAACCATTTCATCTAAAATCAGAATGATGAAGGCAATATAAATCAAACCCATTCCAGCAGGTTTCATTTGGTCTAATTTCTCTGCAGATATTAATCATTGTACGGTCCTGTACAAATGACATCTCACTCCATTTTAACTCAGAATACAGAATGCTCATTCTGATTCCTTCTCTAGTGTGTTATTTTGACAATATAAAAGAAAATAAATAAATTGGAACTGTGGGCCATCAAGACTGCAAGATGCCAATACCAAGACATTAAAGAGAGAAATGCCCCATGCTAAACCTATAACCCACCATGCAAAGTGGCATAAACATTTATCTGCCACAGAGTCACCAGGGGGGAAAATAACTCCCTTAATTTTTCCTTTGAAAATTGCTATGTCAAGTGGAGGTGACAAAGAATTCTTAAGTTCATAGAAAGAGTCTTATTAATTCTAATAAAGATCATCTAGAAGACCAAGGTTAGCCAAATTCCATGGCATGATAACTAGTGGCAGAAAAGACCAGCACTCAAGTGCTCTGGGTTAATCCACTGTGGTAAATACAAAGTTGGAAGGCTGAAATTGTAGCAATGGAAAATGCATGAGAATCAAAGTTTGGCTCCGGTTTAAGCAATTTTGCAAAACACCATATACGCCTTTTATTTTCCTACTGGAGTATGTTTTGCTTGGCACAAAGGATAATCAGAAAGGAATCTAAAGCCCAGAGAAGCAAAAGTAATCCAGAAGCACAACCAGTGACAACTAAGAGGACCCAGAATGAACGACACACATCTGTGCTTGTGGATAAAAGTGCCTCTGAATCGAACAAGGCCAACTGCAAAGTGAAAAATTCCAGGTTAGCTCCCCTTTAGTAAATGTGTCCCCCTAAAATGAATTGGTTGGGATAACCATAGCTATGGAGGAATAAAGAGCAAAGGGAACACTTATGATTTGTCCATTGTTCCCCTTTTATTTGAATTCACCATGCATGCATTTCCAGTAAGATTGCTGTGCCTACAATTACAAAGGGTAACACCACTGCATATTGTGCAAGCCATTTCACTTTGTTGTTTTATGGCCACTTCTCTGTGCAATTTTTTCTTAGCAGGGGGAGGTAGAGCACACTACCACAAAAATCTAACAGTTTTATTTTCCTGTCTTCCCCTTTCCTGCTGAATGCAGATCACTCTCTTTTTGATTGTGGGTAGGAGGACTTTATAAATATGTTTCTGACTTCAGGAGACCCATATGCCTGTAGAGAATGGTCTCCCCAAGCTCACTGGATTTTAGCATTGCAGGATTTCCCAGGAGGCAACCTAAGGTGATGCTCTACACCTGATGTCTCATTCATTTGACCCATCTGATGCTATTCGTTTCTTCATACCAGCAATTTATGGCCCTTGTCATAACCAACGTTCAAGAAGCAAACCACATATATTGTTCTGTACAGAACTGAACTAAAAGTTCTAAAAACTATTTTAAGTTCAGAGAAACAGGCCTGATTCACAGAGACTACCAAGGCCACTAGAGCATTTCATCTTATAACTCACTTACCCAGAACTCATTTCCAATGTTGCAGGCCACACAGACTTCACTTGATAACTCCACTCAAACTAGGACTGAAGATTTCCATTTTCTTGGTGCCTCCTCAGGGCCTTTTACTGACCAAGTCTATATTCATCTCTATACCAAGACCCATGCAAATGAACACCATGTTGTTCTCTTAGCTACTTGGACTATTTGGGGTGGGTGTCAGAGTAGAGCTGGCCCAGATTAAAAATGTTGTTGTTCTAAACAGATTTCCTACTGCTAGTTTTGTTCACTGGGGATATAAAGAGTGCTTAAGCAGAAAAAAAAAATTCATGACAGGTCAAGGGATAGAGAAATAATGCCATCAACATTTTCCTTGCAGTGTTTAATTTCCTATTTAAAGTATGTAGTAGAAGTAGTGGGTCAACCACCATCTTGCTAGTTTTCCAATTCTTACTAGTGGGTCTCTATCTTGATGCCATTACAGTCAGGTCTGAAAAGTTTAGGAAGTTGGGACTTTGGCCATTTTATTTAGACCCCACCTCTTTTACAGCATCCCCGTAGGACCACAAGAATCATTTGACCAAAGTGAGTTTGGGGATATTTTCACCAAATGCAATTTCTTGACCTATTAAGTTCTGCGATTCTTTGCAAGATCTTCTACTATTAGTATGATGGTATTTTGATGTGGTATTAGGAAACATTAAAAAGAATGAAGACATTCGTAGGCTTTACAAAGCTATGTTGTAGTTAAAATCAAATGTTTGCTAATATGTTAATACATAAAAGAACACTTAATTTATGAATTATAATTTTCTTGACAACTCAACTCCCCAAATGAACTTTCTTTTTCACTTAAGTAAAACTTGTTAAACTCCATTCAAACCATCAGGACAAGAAAATATTGGCTGAGTCTCCTGCCAGGTGTGAAGGCAAGAATTACAAAAATTCAAGAAGATATCCATGTAGTAAAGGGCATTAATAACAGGAATCAGGACAGAACCTATTACATAATAAATGTGCATCAATGAGAGATTTCAAAAAGGAGCAATTGGTCATCATTTTTCCCTCCTATAGATATCATCCAGTTGCCTTTATTACCTGTGATACATATACACGTACACACACACACACAATAAAAAAAAAAATAGGAGTGCTTGGCACACAATTAATAATTGACAAATTATTCTTTCAGTTCCCACTGAAACGCATGAGGGATGCTGAAAATAAAAACTGGTCTTTAGTCTTCATTTACCACAAGTCTACGAAAGAGCTATTGGTACATTAACAGAATACAGAGTCAGGTGGATGGATGGCTATTAACAGTTTACTTTTGGCTGTGTCTATACAGGTCAAGGATGTAATCAAGAAGGATAGTTTTGAAAGCCAAAGCCTTAATTTTGGAGCTCTAGTTATCTAGTTGGGTTGTTTATAGACATCAGAGAAACGACAGCCAAATCCTCATAAAGACACAGCCAAATCCCAGAATCCCAAAGGCAAACAAAACTGGCTACAAGAAAGTAACAATATAGCACTGTGGTTTTAAAAAGTTATGAGAAATTATTAGGAAGTGTGTGGAATGCACATCTCTCTTAAACAAACAAAAGGCTGGACGCTAATTCAAGTACTGTGTGTGCTTCTTCCACAACTACATAGGAAAGCAGAGAACTTAATGTGGAGCAAGTGAAAAGGCCACACTATTAAAACATGGGCAGTAAGAACTCTGAAAACAATGACAGAAGGAAGATAATTCAGCTCAGGGTAGAGAAGGCTGAGTGTGGGGTTATTTAGTCGTAATTTCTGTGGATACGAATATTTGTTTTAACACAAAGAATGTTTGACTAGCTCTTCTCACCCTCTCCTAGTACAGAGAAAGAACAGCACAGTAAAATGGAGCCTATGGGTCTTGATTTCAAAATCAGGAAGACAACCGGTTGATGATGAGGGTTATTCAATGTTAGAAAGTGTTGCCAAGAGAGGCTGGGAAACCTTCCCAGAAGGATTTTAAGAAAAGAGCAGAGGCTCATCTGTCTGAAGTGCTCTTAGAAGGAGCTGTGGGGAGCAGGGGCACCCCCCTCAGGATGTCCAGGCCCTGGGGTCATGTGCACTGTGTGTATATACATACTTCGTTGTGCTTGTGTTGCACAAATACTCATGCATAAGGAGTCGATATAAACTGGCACATAATAGATTTGAGTGAAAAGTCATATAAATCTGTCATTTTCCCCACTACCCCATAAACAAAGGGAAAAGGAAAATTTAAAAAATCCAAACGTATGCCATTGGGCCAGATCTCTTTCTACCATCTTCTTGTTCAAAGCAGGGAGGTAGAAGATGAGAGAAAAACCCAGTTTGAGATCAATGACTCCCAAGGCCTCTCAGCTACTCTTATGTAGCCGGCTCTCATTATAGATAAGATATTCAGCACATGGGACTAAGTTAACAAACAAACAAAGAACCAAAAAAAGATTTTCTTATACTTCCACATCCGGAAAGAAATCTACCCTGTGGATTTACATGTTAAGGTGAACTAGGTAAGTAGGCAGTAGTATATCAATGGGCTATTGTGGTCTAACAAATGTGTATTGTTAGTTAGTATTTTTCTTTTCAAATATGAATTTCTTTTAGAAGATTTCTTTCAAAATGGTGACACGATTTGTTTCTTCTGCCACCCCCCAGCCCCCCCCTATAGATGATACTTCCGTAAGAGTTCAGATTGCCAAGGATGTTTCCTCTCGGGAAACCGATCGGGAATTTTGATCTTGAGGAAATCCTGGATGCATTTCTCCAGCTCTTCCTCAATTGAGATCTTTTCCTTAACAGCCTTTTTTTTGCTGCTCATATTCGACTCCCTGGAGCCCGAAGTCAGAGTCCGGAGCAGATCGCTTTTCCGCCGCATCTCTGACTGTTGGATCAGCTGGACGGGGCCCTTCTTGATGGGACGGTCCAGAGTCTGGATGTTGGTCTGGCGTGTCACGGGCCCACAGATGACCGTCTCCTGGGGAGAGCTGGCCTCAGACTGGCTGTCGCAGCTGGAAGTGGAGAGGTCGTTGCAAGACGTGCCGCTCTCCCCTTCTTTGTCGCCCTTGCCGTTCTTGCAGCAGCAATCACAGTGCGAGGAGGACCACCTAGAAGGCTCACCTGCAAGGAAGCACATGACCCGAAAGATTAATGCCAGCCAGCTCACCTTGGAGTAGCAGCATCCCACCTGAACACACACACACACACACACACACACACACACGAACATCCACAACCACATCTGTAGAAGAAGTGGGGTGGCACACTGGATGGGCTGCCACAGGAGCACCCAGAATCCAAGTGCACTGAGGGGAGGAAGTTAACAACGGCATGCCGTGTAAGACGAAATATAGTATAATGCTTAAGTCCATGGGCCTTGGAGTCAGACAGCCCTGGGTAAGAACACTCAGCTGTGCCATTTCCTAACTTTGTTCCCTGGCAGACCCCTTAAATTCTCAAAGCTTCAGTTTCCTCATCTGTGAGATAAGGATAATAATTTTCCTACTACCTAGAATTGTAGGGAGGATTTAGATAAGTCAAGTGAAATTCTTAACGAAGTACATGACATCCAGTAAGCACTCAATAAATGCTAGCTGACTTCACTGTGGCTGATGTTAAACCCTAATCCAAGCTCCACATGACAGCAGTCAGGTATGGGGCAGTCTGGAAGAGGGGAATGACAGCCAGTCCTCAGGGGGGGCTTACTCTGTGCCAACCCCCATGTAGCTGTGCACCCATCAATTCACTGGATCCTCATAATAATTCTATGAACTCAGTAGCTCCACTCCCATACAAGGAAGCTAAGACCCTGAGAATTTAAGAAACTTGCCATAGTCTGCACAATTTGTAAGTGGCAGAGCTGGGATTTGAATATACGTTTTCCAAATATCATAACCAAGGCAATTAATCATTTTTCTTTAATTTGCCTGCCCATAAAATTCCTGCTTCTCTTTCAAAACAATGTTCAAGGTTTCACTTTTCTCTAAAGGCCTTGTTCACCTCTCCTCAGAAATATTTGCCATTTTTTCCTCTGAATTATGGTTTTATTTTGTAAGTGCCTTTATTATTGCACATATCACATTCTGTTATAACTTTTTTTACCTTATGCATCTCAGCTACTATACCATGAGCTTCTTGAGGTGGGCACAGTGTGGGCACATTGTTGTAATCCCAGCAAATAGCTCAGAGCACAGTGTAGAAATCCAATAAAAGACTGTATCCTAGGAATACTTTTTAAGTACCTTCATCCACCCATACCTGAAGCTAGTACTGTCAGTAGACTTTTCAGTTATATGATCCACTAAATTATATTTAAACCAGTGTGAGTCCTTCTTTCCCTATTTCCCTGAGTCTTGACTTACAACACTGTATTCAGCTATTTGGAGGCATAGCCATTTTTCAGATACATAGTTGGTGGCTCCTTGAACTAGAAAATCCACAATCATGGCACAAAGCAATTTCCAAAATATAAGTCACTGCTCTCGGACTTCCACCCTCTGAACAGCCACAGTCTTCTTGGAATCATGAACTTGATACTATTTACTGATCATATATTATACAGTTCATTGCACTTAAGCCATAAAAAATAAAGGGAAAATGAATCTCCTTTATGATGCTAATGTTGAGGACAAGGATAATGCAGTATCTTTATATGGTTTAAAGGAGATCCAGTTTTGATTTGCATTATATCTTATTCTCATAAATAATGAGTCACATTATAATAAGGTCCCGTTTTATTGCCCTTTTTTAATATAGTCAAAGTGGAGGAAACCTAGAATGGGAACTCTTTGGAAAGTTATGTCCTGTCTTCTTGTATAATGCCTGTCCTTTACATATCTCAATGATTTAAGCATTTATAGCAACTTATATAATTTCCAGAGGGAGTAAAAAAGAAAAAGCCCCTATAAATCACAACTCCAAAAGTTATCTCTAACATATATCCACTCTTTCAAACCACTTTTTAAAATGTATCTGTGTAATCATGGCATTTATATACCCATTAAATTAAATGCGACAATCCAATTAGCCAAAAGGAATCACCACAGCAGTAATGTCCTACTTATCCCAGGCTATTACAGATAAATATCTTCCATGCAACAGAGAAACTGTTCAACATGGACCAGCTGGTGACTGAAAATATCAGCCATAGAGAATGGCTTCTGTCTGCCAGCTCGGATTCTGAGGGGATCGTTTTTCTCCTTCAGGAGGCAGATCTGCCTCTGCCTCTCCAAACCCGGCCAACCCTACCTAATATGACTCAACAGAGAAATGGCTCCAATGAATTGGGTCAAGAAAAGTAATCACATCAACTGAAAGCTGATCTAGTTTGATCCTTTTTGAGAAAAGTTTAGAAATTGAACTTAGCCTTCAAAAAAAAAAGAAGAGGAAGAGAGGAAAGACAGAAAGGAGGAGAAGAAATATATGCTGGGACATGCCTGCCTGTTACCTTAAAACAAGATGACAAAATATTTTGGCCATAAACTCTGCTGAACCCGTGGAAATGCAAGCCTGTGTTTTTCTGCCCAAGAGTTACCTTCCCCATGGTAAAGTCATTCCATTCAGCGGACTCGGAGGGAAACCCGAGGCTTTTCTAAAAGCCATTTGAACAACACAAACACCATCGAGTGAGGGAGCCCTGTGTATTCACGTGGAAAATTTCTTCCCTGAACTGCTGCGATGATCATGGTTTTAAACGTCAGCTGGAATCCTCCAGCTCCAAGGCAAATAGAAGTATTACTTATTCTAGGTGCTATCACTACTAAAGGGAAATTGAACAACTTAATTTTAGTGGAGCCTGTTATACTACAACACGTTTCAATATTTTATGAGACCATTTGAATGTTTTGCCATTTTGGAAAGATAATTCTTAAGATGGCTTTTGAAGTGTATACATTATGTTGAAATCAAGAAAGAAGATGGGATTAATACAGTCCAGCTGGAGGTGCTGTGTGACGTCATTGTGAAATTTGAAAAATAATAAAATGTGAGAAGATAACCACCTTGTTTCTTTTGGGGAAGCACTGTTTATCTGATTACCCTCTTCCCAAGAACTTCACCACAATGGAGGTTTTAAACCAAAACACAGAAGTAAGGGATGTGGGTGCTGGACCCTTTCGCCCTCGCAATCCCACTGACATGCTCACTAGTTCTGGAAAGTGTGGAAAGATCTATGAAAGGTCATTTCCGTAACACAAAGTATTCTAGAATCCCCCCAATTATAGCAAATAATGATCTCATAAATGCCTTGGTACTTCAAATTGCAACACACTTTTGCTCCCAATTTGCTGAGGTTTCAATACTGGCTGGAATAACTCTCTCCATCTGAGGAGAAAATAGGCTACAATTGATCAGCCAGGTATAGGAAGAAAATCATTTCATTCCAAGAAAAGTCTGATTTATCGATATTAAAAAAGCAAAAAATCTACAGCCTTTTTGAGGGCTTCTAAACCAGTTGCTGGTCAAAGAGCCTAACGGCTATACCTTATTTTTAAAGAAACCACTGCTGAATTTGTTGGATATTATATCATTTTTGATGCCTGGCACAAAATAGAGGTTTGATAAGTGTTTGATGAATGAATGAATGAGCCAAACACGTACGTTGAATTGTATCAAGTTGATAACATAGCAAGGGCAGACTTCAGTCTCCAGAGTCAGGCCCCACAATGTGTAAGCCTGGATAAATTACTTCACTTCTCTGAGCCTCAGTTTCCTCATCTGAAAAATAAGGCTAATAATAGTATCTTCCTCACAGGGGTTTTAGGAAAATCAAGTGAGATAATTAATGTAAAGATGTTTCATAGGTTGTGGCACACAATAAGCTTTCCACTAATTCATATATATTTGTTCTACTATAAGCCAGACACTGATCTACATAAGCAAAACAAATCAGGAGCACGTAAGATATGATTAGTATGTTTCCACCAACAGACTATACAACCAATTTTTAGGTCTGGCTGGAGCATCATGTTAGGAAGGACACTGATGCTACAAGTGGACTCATCGGGAAAATGTATATGCAGCATTTAGTAACACCTGACTTTGTCATGGGAGGGGAGAGGAACCACAAGCACATACAGTGTCTGGCACACAGTATGTCACCAGGGGATAGTTTTAGAAAGAAGCTTCCTTTACCTTACAGCGCTTAGAATTTCACAAATGGATGAGTCTTGCAGGATAAAAATGTACTTGAAGACATTTCAAATAAATTTAAACCCAGGGCAGGGAGGAATTTTAAGTTTAGATTAAATGCGGAAGGGCAGGAAACTCAATTGCCCCAAGTCCTTAAAGCCCAAATCTTCCAACATTTTACAGCTTGGAACACCTGAGGACCAATCAAGCAAATTGTATGATTGTCCCCTCTCCACTATAGCCCTAACTTTGGAAGTCTTTACTGGAGGAATCAAAGAGGAAAAGCTACAGAATATTTCTCCTCCATGAAAAATTCAAACCGAGCTGAGTGAAACATGACTTAGCAAACTCACAAAGTGCTTATGCATTTTTAAAAGAGTCAGCTCTGCAATCTACCCACACTTCAAATGCTCCACCTGCTAATGGCTGTGAACACAATGCACATCATTTACAGCAACAGCTGGGAAAACTGCTTTCCCTGTCTTCTCTGTCAATGATGTAGGAGTCTGCCAGTCTGGGAGCTAGGTGGCCAGATTTAATTTATTGAGGCTGCTGAAAGACTTTCTTGGTATCCAGGTTGAAAAGTCAATAATGGCCAAATTGATGTTTTTATAATTCTTCTAACCTTGGAAAAGATATTGCATTGTGGAGATTGGGAATAGGCAGGCTGTGCAAGCTTCTGGGAAAAATACATCTTCAAGCTTGACAATCATCATTTCTTGCTTGTGGTTGACCTTTTCCACTCGTGGAGACATGGCCTTGGATGGGCCCAGCAGGGGCTCCTCATTAAGAGGTGGCAAGTTTGGGCAAGAGCAGACAGCAAACCATCCACACACCAGTCAGGGCCAGTCAGGAAAACAGACAATCCACCTTATCCCAATGGGGATAATTTAATGTAAGGAATTGGTTAAACAAATATTGGAGGAGTGAAAATGGAAAAAGTGACACTGAAGAGACAAAGATAGTGACTGCAGGAGACAGCTACCACCGTC